CGATCCACCCATATTTTACTGCTTATATTTGGTTCTTTACCTGTATGACCTGTTCTTTATATTTTCATACATTTGTACTTACGTTTGAATTATCTGTTACCCATAATTTCTTTAAAAAAAAACAAACAAAACACCTAGTTAAAAAAAAAGATGACAAAAGCAGGGCCAGGCTGTACTGGACAGACACTTCCCAAGCAGGCCTACCTGACCTGGACGTTGTTCTCGGTGTGATTTTTGGCAACAGCTGTTCTTGGCCTCAGCTGTGACTTGAATTAATTATGTAACTTGGGTGGTTTCCTGGCCCTGCTCTTGCCCTGGACTCCCAGCTGGCTTGGCCGGGATCGGGTCTCACCGAAAAGCAGCTGCAGCCTTTGGCCCCAGCACAGAGATTGTGTAAGGAAGGGACCAGCTGTCTCACTGCCCCCAGACTTCCCATCGGGGCTTGTTTGTGTCGGTTGAGTTGGTGGGGAAGGAGAAGGAAGCTCTCTTGCCTTTTTCCTCCTGTTGAGGGCTGCCCTTCGCTGGGAAAAGGGGGAACCCGTGCAAAAATTCCCTTTAGGCCCATAATTACCAGGGCTGTCCCCATCAAGGAAAACTCCTCAATGTAACAACATCAAAGGATATAATACATGCAAATGTCTATTTAAATTGAGAGCACCGTGCTGGGAAGGCTTAAAATTGGTGAGTCTTGCGTCTGAAAGTATCCCTGGCTGAGGGGAAGGAAATCAAAACATGGATAATGTGCAGTTGAATCTTGTATTCAAGAGGCACAATGTCTGTGAGTTCTAGATGCTGGAGGGTTGGGGGGGGGCCACGTAAGAAGAGAGAGGGAGATCAGTGGACACCCCTTTTCCTCCACGTCTAGCCTCCTGCTGCTGAAGTATAAGACCCGTTTTGGTATGTTGGCATTTGAAGTAGGAGTTCTCTCAAGCTCTTCCCCTTGCAAGAAAAAAGCACCCATCTTTTCACAATGCCGTATCTCAAAAGTAGCAACTCATTGCTCCCTGCACTTAGGATTCCTGCGGTAACTTACATGTAGTGCTCAGCTTAAGACCAAAAGTGGGACCAGAATTTCCGTTGCTAAGCAAGGTGGTTGTTAAGTGTGTTGTGCCCAGTTGTATGACCTCTTTTGCCATGGTGGTTAAGCAAATCACTGCAGTCATTAAATGAGTCACATGAAATGAATCCAGCTTTCCCCATTGTCTTTGCTTGTCAGAGACCAACTGGGAAGGTCATGATCACATGACACCCGGGCACTGCAGCCATCACAAATACATGTCAATTGCCCAGGGCCCAAATTTTGATCTCATCAAAATGCTGTGGAGATGCTGTGACAGTTGTATGTGCAAGGAGGACCAATTGAGAGTAACTTTTTTTTAATAATATTTTTAGTTTTCTAATTTTACAATTAACTTAAGTATTTAAAAAGCATTGTGGCGACTGGGTTAATCAATAATTCAATAACATACATAAATCTTTAGTACAAATCTCAAGTTACAACATCAGATATTTCCTCTCTTTTTCCCTTAATATCTACTATCTCATATTTGGCTAATATAGTTATTATTATTATCAACTAAGTAAAAACATCATTGTTACATTTATCAATATTTTTTAGCTTATACATCTTAATTGTGTTTACATTCAATCCTTATATACAATCAATGTCCTGTTATTGCTTTTTTCCCAACCTTTAATTTCCCATTAATATTCAAATTAACACTTGATATTTATAATTTCCAAGCTTTAGGTAACCAAAGTTTCCCTTATCTCAACTTCTTCCTTTTTCCCATTTCATAACAAAATCTAATATTCTAAATACACATCTTATCTATTTGCATATAATCTTGTTCTGTTTTCTAAAAGTTATCTATTTTCCACCATATTAAACCATCTAATTAATAATATAGTATCCCCTCTAATAAATCAAAACCATTATATGTATTGTCTGGGTTAACCAATAAATCAATAATATACATACATTTTTTCATTTAGGTCTAATTTTTAAGAAATCAAATACTCCCTCTCTTTTTCTGGTAATATATATTATCTCATTTTAGGCAAGCAGAATTCTTATTTTCAATTGATTTTCAAATATTTTAAATTAGGTGACCAAAATTTCCCTTATCTCAACTTCTCCCTTTTCCCCTTTTCATACCAAAGTCTATTAGTCTTGTTACACATCTTACCTATTCAATTATAATGTTACTTTATTTTCTAAAAATTATCTATTTTCCACCATATTCAACCCTCTAATTAGTAATATGAAATCCCCTCTAATAAATCAAAACCCTAGTTTTCTTCAGCCTTACTCTGGCTTTCTTCCTTTGCCAACTAACCTTCCATGTCAGTACTTTTGAATCATCAAATAGTTCTCCCTCTATTATTATATATATTATTTGAAATAAGAAAGACCATTTGGTTGCAGTTTTTTTTGGAAGAACTAACCAATTGTATTCATTAGATTGCCTCCCTATTACTCCAATTTCCTACAATTGTCCTGATACGTTTATTTTCCATTTAATCTGTTCTTCCTTTTCCTCAAATTTCTTCTGATTTATGTAAAAAGTATTTTCCATTTTCAGTGTTGTTACTCCCTTTTCTGATTTTTCCATTGACTGGATCTGTTGGTCAATTGATTCCTCTGTCTTAGTGTTTAGTTGTTCCACTTCTCCTGTTATTTTCTGCATTGTTAGTTCTTTGGTTGTAGTCAAGATCTGGGTTTGTATATCTAAGCTGGCATCTTGTTCCTTTATGTTGCATCTTATTTTGTCACAAGCTGAAAAAATGGTTTCATGTATTGATTTCAACATGGAAAGGATTTTTTCCTGCTCTTCATCCATATTCTCTTGATAATGTGTTAAGTTGAAGACTTTAAAATCAAACGTTAAAAATAGTTTTTTGTTTTTTATAACTAGGTATGGGACATCTATTTCACGTGTTGTAGGTAGTCTTTATGGTGGAAATTGTTTGCCAAATAAGAATTAAAAATAAGTCTAAGGTATTCCATCATCTTGTGTAAATAACAGATGCTTCTCATGTAAAGAAATAGGAAAGCAATTCCCCATGTACAGCTCTGGAAGTCAGTAAAGGTTTACATTCATAGTTCAAACAAGTCAGATATGCCACCCAGAAGTTCCTTCTTTGCAGCTGAGTTTTTCACAGGTGGTATCCGTCAAGGTCAAGCCAAGTCTCTTTTAGCCAATAACAAATTGTAATACCATACTTAGCCACAAGATGTCACCAATGCCGTTTAAAGCTTTTTAAGTCCAAAGTTTTTATGATAGTTTTTCAAGTTTTATTTCTTTTTTTTTAGATAAAAACAAACATCTCCAGTAAGAATAGGAAAACTTTTAGTACCCAAGTTTCAAAAGCATATACATCCAATTAGATTAATATAGTTGCTCTGATTCCCCTGGGTAGTTAGTCACCGCTTTTGTTAGGAGGGTGGGGTAAAAGTTCCCTTCCCTCTCTCCTCACAGAGGAAAAATACTTTGGGCAGCTTTTACAGGAAAAGATATTTAAAGTCTTAAAGAGAAGATCAGATCTCACCCAGTTTCATCTGCATTGCTTTAAAGGTGCTTGGTGGTGATTTTGACTTCGGCTGTCAGCAGCTTAATGACGAGCCAGATTGCTATGGCCGGTCTTTCCCCCGCCGGTTTGGAGGGCTGCCCCGGATCAAACTGGTGCTGCCCTCCCGCAATCACCCCTACAGGGCGACTTTTGACCCTTTCCAGGGTCCCCCAGCAGGATGAATTCGGACGTGAAAGACGGAGCTCGTCTTCCAGAGTCCGCGGTGCCGTGATGGCAAACCAGAAGTTGGGAATAACTTTTTCCAGTGCCCTTGTAACTTTGAACATTTGCCAAACAAATCATCGTAAGTTGAGAATTACCTGACCTATGCTTAACATTTGGGTGATTTCAAAAGTTTTGTACAACCCCATCATGCTTGTTTTTTTGTGTGGGACTGTTGGGAACAGTAGTCAATATCTCTGGAAGGAGCCAAATTGAAGAAGATGCACAAGATGCATTCCTTCCTCCCTCACTCTACAATTATAGGCACAATACAAGTGCCAATTAAAGCTAGCTAAAATGCTGCCTACAGTGCAGTCTTTCTTGTAATAAACATTATCCAGATGCCTTAGGCCTACAACTCCCAGAATTCCTAGGTTGGGTAAAGCTTCCATAGAATCTTCTGTGTGCATCTGCCTCACAGACCACAAAAGGTTGAATTTCAATGGTTGTGTCCTTCTCCATGCTCTTGAATACAAGAGTTTTGAGTGATCTGTTGGGAGTAGTTGAATACTACCATTAACAGGAATCTCAGTTTGCCAAATTTGGTTGCTGAGGGGTCTGTTACCCCCCCAAGTTAGAATATTATGATTCCAGCATTGACGCTGTGCCTTGGAGAATTGAATAGGGCCCGAGGCAGCAGAACACAGATTTGGTGTTGCATTTTTCCACCATTCACTCAGCAATCTATGCTCCTGGGTCAAACAGTAGAAACTGCAAGTCATCTTAGGCTAGATATTTTTCCGTAGTCTAACATCCTCCGGTTCTCTTTGCTGGCTATGGGAGGTAAAGTCCAACATGTCTAGATGATATCAAGTACTCTTAAGTACTTAAGTACTCTCCAAAGAAGCAGGCATCTTCCATGGTGTTTTTTTTAAATTTGTGAGTAAATTGATCTCTGCAGCTTCCTTCTTTCTCAAAACTGAGTTCTTTTGAGCACAAAATACCACTCCAGTCCCTGCCTGTCTGCGTGTGGTTATGCATGCCCTCTGCCACAGTCTGGCAGATTTTTTTTTTAAAGCAATATCCTGCCCTCTGCTGATGATTCACCTTGCCTGGGCCAGCAGAAGCATGCTCCCTTTTTATTCCTCCTTTCTCTCCCTTTGACAGTAACCATCTTCCGTCCTCCATCTAGGAATTCCTGATGGGACTCAGAGCCAAGTGATTTCCCTTGGAGGCAAGAGACAAGGTGAACTTCTCCAGAAGACATGGAGGTGAAGGGGCAGCTGATAAACTCATCCAGCTATAGCTCTTCAGGTAACTCCCTTCCCTCCACCACCTGTTCAGCAACATTTCTGTGACATAGAGTGGATCTCAAGCCTCATCCCTTGTTCTCTGCTCTGTCTTTGCTTCTGCAGAAGCTTTGCAGCGAGAGTTCTGTCCCCGAATTCGGCTAGAGCGGGTGCAAGAACTCCTGGAAAAGCAGAAGTCTCTCCAGCAGGTGCTCAGCCTACGCCTGAAGGAGCTGCGACGGGTTTGCCTGCAGGAAGCGGTGCGTAACCATGACAGGAGGAGGAGGAGGAGCCAATGGGAGGGACTGGGGCAGTGGATCTGCTGCTTTGAGAAGCTAAACGTTCCCAACCTGGGGGACTACGATGTTTGTTAGGCCGTCATTCCCACCACTATCACTGAGCACTGGCCAAACGGGCTTTGTAGTCCAGGACATCTGGAAAGCACTAGGTGGGGTTAGGCTGAGGTATGCAGCCAACCTTGAATTTACAAGTTTTCTGCTCTGTGTCAGGGTTCAAACTCTTTGAGGGTTTTAGTTTTAATCAGGTAGGTTGTGAGCAAATGCTCCCCAAAACAAACAAGGAATGGGCAGCTGAAAGCCTAAGCTACTGAGGGCTTGGAAGTCAACCTTCTGCAGAAATGTAAGCAGGAAAAAGGCTGAGTTTCTTCAAGAAGTAATAACCTTAGGAGACGCCACCTCAGAAAGGTGTAAATCAGGCCAACCCACGTGGCCTTCTCCGGCTCTCTGCTCTCCAAATATTTTGGAATACAACTCTTATCCTCACTGGCCAGGCTGGCTGAATATTAAGAACGGATCAGCATGGCTTAATCCCATCAGATTCAGGAAGGCAAATGTATGTGAGACGGTGATTTCCAATGAACCAAAATGGCTTTCCTTGGGCCAAATTATTATCTGCAAAGTTGAAGAGTTTCTTATAAATGCTGTGAAGTTTGTCTCCTTGGGCCAAATCTAATATCAAGTGAGATTGACTCTTGTTTTCACCTCTGGATCTCATACCTATTTCATGTTTGCTTGCTTCTCCTCTCAATGCCAGGAACTGACAGGAAAGTTGCCACCAGAATATCCCCTGGAACCCGGAGAAAGGCTGTGGCCAGTGCGGAGGAGAACAATAGTGGCATCCCGAATTGCCCCTGTCTTGAAGAATGAGGTGAGCAATCCGTCTTGCGCGTAAGAGAATGAGGGAGCCCGTGCATCTCTATGGGAGGAGGCCTGTGGGCTTTAGGGATGTTCCTGATGCCACACCCCTATCTTTAATTAATTTATATATCAAATTTGGAGACTGCCCATCTCACTCACAGAGCAACTCTGGGCGGTGTTCAGTTAAAACCTAAAAACGTAAACATATAAATATGTGTTATTATAATGCGTTCTATTACGTGTTGGCATAATATAATATATGCTAATAGTTTATATGTTAATATATGTTATTATAAGATCTTAGCCATCTTACATGTGTGCTATATATAACACCATCTAAATGTTATATTTTTAGGAAAACCCTTCGCTGGAGGAGCTGACCCAGGATCTGGCACTCCAGCAACAAGTGGCTGAGGCTGCCCGACGGCTAGCGGTTGCCCCCGACTTAACCGTTGATCAGCGCCGGCGCCGGCGGCAGGTCCAGGCAGATGTTGTTCAGCGCCTGCGGGAGCTGGAGGTCCAGGTAGTAGAATGCCGGGCGCGGCTGAGCAAAGGACCCCTCCAGAGGGTTGGCCTCGGTGAGTTATGCCGGTTGCTTAGCTGATTGCTTAATCGATTTATCAGTTGCTTCGTTGGCCACAGCAATGCTAGGCAACAAACAGGAGTGTAATAGACATGGTTTAAAAGCACAAGCAGGGAGGGAAAAGGAATCGGTAAGGATGATAAAAAACTACAAGAGCCAAAAAAACCCCATGGGTCAGTCTCAAAAGCAGGCTCCCATCCATCCTGCCGAAAGAAACACTCCTTGTGGCCTTCTTAAAGCACAGCAGGGTGAGAGGACTTGATGGGGATGCTGTTCCCCAGGGCAGAGGCAACCCCTGAGAAGGCCTGTCTCTCAGGCTCCGTAAGATAGCATTGTTTAAACTACAGAACCTTTTAATCCCTTCTAATTTTCCAAACATCCCAATTATTCTTATCCTCCCCCCTAGATACTTCAGGCTGGCCATTATTCAGCTCAACAGGTACAGTTGCTACAGAGGGACTCAAATTCTAGGGGAAAATGGCAGGCGGGGGGGGGACATGCTCCAAAGAGGAGTTTGTGGGAGGTTTCAGGACATCAGTGTTAGAACTAGAGCAGGGGTAGGCAACCTTGGCTCTTTTATGACTCCGTGGACTTCAACTCCCAGAATTCCTGAGCCAGCCATGCTGAGGGGAAAGGGAGAGGTTTCCAAGCTGAGCCATGCTGGCTCAGGAATTCTGGGAGTTGAAGTCCACGAGTCATAAAAGAGCCAAGGTGGCCTACTCCTGAACTAGAGGAAGATGGGACTGTTCCCCTGCTCCATGTTGGAATTCCTTCAGATTGACAGCCAGCATAGGGTACTGTTCCAAAACTTTTAGGGATCTCTTTTTTTTTTTTGAAAACTTTGAACATAAACACATTATTTTAGTGGTGAAGGTGTTGACTGGGAGTAGGGAGACCTAGTATTTAGTTCCTCCTTAGACCCAGAATCCTACTGGGTGATATTAAGCCATTCGCTCTCTTGCTGTGCAGCCTATCACAAAAGGTAGGAAAAAAATAAGAGGAAGAAGCACTATGTATGCCATCTTGAACTCCTCACTAAAAGATGGGATATAAATAAAACCGATTGAAAAAAAACACCCAATATACTCAACAAATTGAAAGTCTTTAAAAAAAAATCTACTTGCCACACAGAGAACAATTTGGAGGGGCACTGAGTGTTCTGTGGAAGCATCATAGTGTTATATTCGCTTCCTTTTTGAACTATAAAGATACTTGCCTAAGCACTGATGATTCCTCTCGTGTTGGAAAAAGTATCATCGGCAGCAACAGCAGCATAAATTTATATGTGAATCCCATTGAATGAGTAGCACAGGACCCACCACTGCTCAGCGGATATATTACATCAATGGGTCTCAACTTGGACAACTTTAAGATGTGTGGACTTCATCTTCTAGAATTCCCCAGCCAACTGGGGGGAGCGAAGTCCACACATCTTAAAAGCTGCCAACGTTGAGAAGTACTATTTTTTTCTTAATCTTCCCACTTTCTCACTCATTTCTTCTTTATTCTCTCTTTTTAAGAAGAGGCATTTCACTCGGAGAGCAGCTCCCTCTCCGAATCAGCCAGCCATGAAAATGGTAAGCATCTCCTACTTCTCATTCTCGGGTCAAAGAAGAGTGCTTGATGGTCTGAGATAAACAGATACAAACTACATTTCTGACAAATAAAATGGTCTGAAAATTCAACATTTCTTAAGATATTCTTGCCATCTGATTCTTGAGGGTATACTGAATGATGAGACAAAGATGCTCTATATATGTGCAGAAAATGACATTTACCAACTAATGGACTGATACAAAACCACATGGGCTGTGCATGTGTGTATATGGTTGTCTCGTTTAAATGTATGCTTTGAGACAATATAAAGCCAGTATTTCGCCTTAATAGTTATGTCTCCACCTGGAGGGGAGAATCTGGAGACAGTTACTCAAGCCTTAGTTAGCACTCTTAGGATGGATTACTGCAATGTGTTGCATATAGGGCTATCTTTGAAGACTACCTGGATCAGTGGTTCTCAACCTTTTTAATGCCGCGACCCCAACCGGTCATAAGTCGAGGACTAAACCAGTCATAAGTTGAAGACTAAACCGGTCGTAAGTCNGCAAGCGGCAGAGACGGAGCAGGCCGACCACCAGCTGGCCCAGCCCAAGGGAGGTAAGGCACCCACCGGAAAAGGGGGAAAAATGGCGGACAAAAAAAATGGCGGACAAAAAAAATGGCGGACAGCCTTGCTTGGCGACCCCCGTGAAATGGTCGATCGACCCCAAATGGGGTCCCGACCCACAGGTTGAGAACCACTGACCTGGATGCTACTATTAGTACAAAATGCAGCAATCCTCCTGCTGACATCTGAGAAGTACTTAACTGTATATATAGTAGCATAGCATTATTGCAGGCACAGTGTTGCCAATGGTCTTCTGAATATAGTTCAAGGGACGGGTTTTAAATGTTAAAAGTCTGGTTTTCAGTGTTAAAACATGAAGTTGTGGATGGCAGGAGATAACATTTTTGAGTCTTTATTTGACTTCCTGGATTCTGTTAAAAGAGAAGTGTGAAAACAGTTATTTCATAGAGCTTTTAATCTATAAGGTTTCTGGACTTTTGGATGCAAAGGAAGGATTATTTTTATGGTGTTAATTGTTTTATATAAATATACTGCAGACTCTTATGTGTTTGGGCAGAGGTGTGAGGTCAGTGGGGTATAAATATTGTAATAAGTATTCAAAGCAGAATTTGGGAATTAATTTAACCATCGTTTGGAGCCAGGATTCTTGAGTTTCATGATGGCTTGAGCATAGAAGACAAGAATTACCCAACACCATCTTCAAAATGCTTGAGATGTGAGACCCTTTAAAAGTCTTTAAAAGGATGTTTAGACACTCTCATATGTAACTTGGGCACCACAGCTTCTTATTCTGCTTCCTGTACAATGCTAAGTTGATAATTTTAATTATCAGCCTAAGAGTTTCTCCCATAATTTAGTTTTGTATATGTGTTCTATGGACATGTTTATATCTAGAAGCAGTTTCCCCAGGTGATAGTTGTTTGTTTAGAAAAAAAGCTAGAGTTTTGAGACTATTGGATTCTTTTATTGTGGTGGTGGTTCTATTTTGGCCAAGATGGGGATGTGCAGATGCTTCTAACCTATGTACCATCTTCTGTCCTCAGATGACCCTCGCAGCTTCCATCCCTCCAAAGTCTCCAACCATCAGGGAGCTTTCCCAGACAGATCCTCACCTCCCAAGGCCCGAGATCACCTACGTGCCATCTCCAGCAGTCCTGACCGCCGACCAGGTTGGCGAATTTTGCAGCCGGATCTGTACAGTGAGGCCAAGGACCGCAGGAACTCTGTTGCCAGCCCAACCAGGTTAGCCAAAGATGCTGGGAAGCTGGGCTGAGCAAATGGGGAGAAAAGCAACCAGGGCTGACCTGTCAACGTGAATATAGAGTCTTGTGTGGGCTTAGAGGACTGATTTACAAATGCAACAAAATGAGCTGATGTAATTATTTAATATTTTGTTTTTAAAATAATTCCTTTGCAGGTAGTGGAAAACAAAAGTGAAATAGACTAGATTCTGAGTGCCTGTAGTCTATTTTGATAGGATGAATTCTTTTCCTCCTTTTTTTTTAACCATACAGAAGAATTCGGAAATCTGCTAATAGAAGGACCGTTAAAATAACACTATCCCAGGAGTTTTCTGGCTTGCTCAGTTGGCTGTGTAAGATTGGTCCATTGTGTCTAGATTACGGGCGTCCAACCTTGGCCACTTTAAGCCTTGCGGACTTCAACTCCCAGAATTCCCCAGCCAGCCATGGCTGGCTGGGGAATTCTGGGAGTTGAAGTCCGCAAGACTTAAAGTGGCCAAGGTTGGACGCCCCTGGTCAAGATTTCCACTTATGGTTAGGAACTAAAGTGGAAACTAGTGACTACGGACAACAAGGGAAGGAGTAGAAAATCCCATCCAGCTGATACCTCTCCCTCTCTCCCTAGAGCTTGTGTTTTGTGAAGATAAGTGGGATTGAACCCTTCCTTGTCAGGAAAATGGGGGAGAGGGGGGAAGACAGCCTAGAGAGGGCAGCTGTTAAGCTTCTTCTGCAAAGCAAGCTGAGCTATTTCCAGCTCTTGGAGCACATTGTTTTGTTGAAACTGGGATCTTCCTCTTGCTGTAAGTGTTTGCACACGTGTGAGCCTGCAACGTGGCTCTTGAAACACGAAGAGCTGAACCCACTCATTTCAAAAGGATCCTTGTCTGTTTATACAGCCCCAATCGCACCCTCCCCAGAAGCATGTCCAGCTTTGAGGGCCGAAGCGTCCCAGCTACTCCCGTGTTAGCAAGAAATGCATGCAGTGGAAATCATCAATTAAGGTAGCCTATTCCCCTTTCTTTCCTTTTTCTCCTGACTGGGTTTGCTTGTAGGCTGCAGGCCGACAGACAGTGTTTTACTATTTTTCTTTCTATGCAGTAACTAGCAATTTGAAGCACAGTAAATTGTTGCTCTACTTTGTGTCAAACTGCACTTAACTGAGCTTTTAAATGCAGGGTTGGGTTGGACAAGGCATCCAAAGGGATGTTTGGGGGAATTGGCTGCGGGTAGCAAGAAAAGGACAAGATCAGTTTTCAAAGATCCTGCAAATTAATCATGAAGACAGCAGTGCCTATGCTGCTTTAGTCAGCCTTTCTCATCCAGAATCTTGCAAACTTTTGCTAACTTTTTTAAGGCACGTACATGGGAGGAACACTTTAGCATTACTCCCCCAAAGTGGAGTGTTTCTGCTTGAACTTCCTACTCTGGGCATGCCTCAAGTTTGAAAGGGGAAGACTACATATAGCACTAGTCCTAATATTGTAATAGTAATTCATGCAGAGAATTGAGACCTACCATTCTCGTCTTCAGAGGGCGAGGAATCTTGAATTGCTCCAGTCATGCTGGATGCAGACTAACAGCAGAGTTATTTAACCCAGTCCACCCCCTGACCAAAACAAGTGGACTGAAAAAAGAAACAAAGCTAAATGCAACAGGCAAAACAACTTCTCTATAGATGGGTATTTAGGATATGCAAGAGATTCTTACTCCCCTCCCCCAATAATGCATGTAATGGCAAATCTTATTTCATAGATATCCAGCATAAAATTAAAAGCAATAATTTCAACTCTATTTCCTCCCAGGTCAGAGGCCCCATCTCTCCACTCCCGCCAGTGGTCAGGCAGCCACGATTCCCAGCTTGGCCCCCCTAGCCGGGACACCAGTGCTGACAGAGCTTCTCTCTTTGCTGCTCGGACCCGTCGAAGCAACAGCTCCGAGGCCTTGATTGAACGGGCCCCTTCAGAGGATCCCCTCCTGCCCACTGCCCCTCCTTTTAAGAGTGCTGAGGCCCTGACCCCTTCCACCTCTGGCCGGATCCCTCGCCCACCTTACAACGATCTCCTGTTGGACTATTACCTGGAACGCCGGAGCTGTGGGGGTGGTGAGCATTTGTCTCGCAGGGATGGGCCTCCCCAGCTAGAGTGGGGAGCCTTTTCTGAAAGCCCGCTTCAGCGCCGAGCCCGACCTGCGGCCCGCACTAAATCCTGTGGGCCGCTGCTGCCTCCACAGTCCCGTGAGGTTGGTTATGGACCCCCCTTGCCCCCTCATCGCAACTTCCACAAAGCGCTTGCTCTGGAAGGGCTCCGGGACTGGTACTTACGCAACGCTGGAGTTACCCAACGTGGGGCACCCGAGAGGCGAGGACCATCTCAGTCTGTACATCAGCACCTGCGCGGCTACTGTGATCCGGGACCCTCCAACCCCGACGTGGGATATTACGGGGGGCCAGGAGGCGGGCTGCCTCACTCTGTGAGCTATGCGGGCCAGCCACTCTATGGCAGGTATGCAGGCCGATTTCTTCCTTTGCCTTGAGAAGCTCAGCACGCCCTCCTCCTTCCCTGCTTGCCTAAGGCCAACCCTGTGCCTCTTCTCTCTGCTCTCCCACTTTCATTGGTTTCACTCCCTTTTTCAAAACAACTGGTGCTTCTCTGGCTGCAGATTTTAAACTGTTTTGAAAGCCCTGGGTGAGGAAGAGAAGGAAAAGAAAGGAGGCAGGTCTTCTTGTAAAGCAGCTTTCCCTAACTCACCACCCCTTTGCTGGCTGAGAACAATGGGAGTTGAAGTCTAAAGCCTCTGGGAGGCAGGCAGTTGAAAGGCTGGTTCTTTTTGACCCCTTCGTCATGGTTGGAAAAGACCCATTTAATGAACCAAAGTGTGTGTGTGTGTGTGGGGAGAGAGAGAGAGAGAGAGAGACTGGGGTTGTGATTACTGTAGTAGGGTAAACTTGATCCAAAATTGGAGATAAACCAGAACTGGAGATAAACACTTTCGCTTGCTGCATGATTCCTTTCTGCCCCTTTGTCTAATTCTTTCTTTTTCTCTCTCTCCTTTCTTTCTGTGCTTTACTCTGCCCAGACCTTTTGCCGACCTGCTTTATCTGGAAGATTCTTCTGGTCCTTACAGTTTGGATTCCACAGAGCACCCAACCCCAGGGACGTTGGTTTGACACCCCCCCCTCCCCCTTTTCCCCAAGGGGATCTATCTGGAGTGCTGTTTCTTTTTGTTTTCCTTTTTCGCACTGGTGCCTCTCTTTTGGGTGTGATGCACCATTGTGAGGATGGGGGCTCCCTGCTGGCAGGGTAGGTTTCCACATGTGTGAGGGTGGGTTGTTGCATGTCACACTGGACACATGATGGGGGGGTGTAGGAGTGTGTCCATAGTTCTTCCTACAGTTGTTAACCTCCCCCATTCCAGACTTTGTGGGGTGGGCGGGGGAATCTGTTTACTGTACTACTTCTCCATAAAAGGGTTTTTCTGCTGTGGGTGGCGCCCTCTTGTGTTCACTGGAGAACAGTGCACTGTTACTGCCATGGTGCTCCGTGTTGGGGTGTAGCATTATAAACCCTGGACCCTGGAATGTATAAATGGAGAGGTTTGTGCAATGTGTGTTTCTTGTGAAATGTTATATAGCACAGACCTGTCATCTTGCTAATGAACATCAGTCCTGTAAAAAGTAGAAAAAAAGAGATCTATACCACTCCCGTTGCCCTCACTGTGAAAAACTTAGTTTACCCTTCAATGTATTGTCCCTTCCTACACATATCCTGCTCTTGCAAAGCCCTGAGTGAGGGGAAAAAATGCGTAGAGGTTTGGGAAATGTTTACCGGATCCATTGGATGAACCTATTTCATGGCCCAACCTTTCTCCTAGCAGGGGAACTCCACCATAGTGCTAGATATAGGAATGCAGTGATTGGCTTCACCCATTCAGTTTAGTTATTACCTCTCACAGGGGGAGGGGGCAGGAGATCCCAGCTGAAGGCATAACACAGTCTGATCCATGGGGTGGGCTATGGAAAAGGCCAGCTGATTCCACGTGGCCTTCCCCAAAACTGCTGTGGGTGTGCCTGCGTGTATCAAAACCCAACTCTCACTGGGTATGGGTTGCACCAATTGTAACGGGCAATGCAATCCTTTCATTTTTCTAAAAAGTACAGCTGCACACCGTTTTCTGCCCTCTAGGCTGGACTGGTTATTTTCTCCTGCATCCTTCGTCTGACATGCTTTCTGCATTCTCCCCCATTTTTTTCAAAACTGGAAGGAACGTCTTGCCTTTTTCCTTTCGCTGTAATAATAACCATTATCATCCTAATAATTGTAAAATGTGTGATGGTTTTCCCCTGCTCTCAACAATTGCACATAAAAGGAATAGTCACTTTGTTTAAACTCTGTGCCAATGGAATCCAGGTCATTCTGGAGCAGAGGGAGGGAAGGAGGGAGGATGAGAGAACCCAAGAGAGGCTCCGGTTTTCTCCCCCTCCCATCCCTGGCTGAAGGAACAAGGGCCATATTGGAGTCACTGTCTTGTGTGTCTTTTTAATATACACTAATGTATAGATTATATATGGGGATCTAAATGTAAAGCTGAGCACTGTGCATAAGGAGAGAAGGTTTCTATAATAAAGATTGTAAACGAGGCTGTGATGTGTGAAAACTTCATGTCAGCATCAGGATCATGGTGTAGACAATACGGGATAGTGATTAGACAGCATCTGATCTGTGACCTAAAACTTCACTTAGTAACTGGAACGTCTTGTGGCTATTTCAGCGTGACTGGCCTTGAGGAATTGATACGAAAACAAAGCAGATAGAAATCGAAATGTGCCACAAATGCCTCAAAGTTTTCCTCATGGAGGAAAAATGGCTAAAAGAATCTGTGCTCATTTAATTTGGTTAGGATCATCAAGGGGTAACATCGACAAGGAGGAACCCACTTTGATTATAATAGAATTCAATGATGCACACATCTGAAAGAAGATGTTTTTAAACGTTTCCAGCTCACAGGGTATTGGATGTACAACTTTTGTGTAAGCCTCTTGGCTAATTGTCAGGGTTTTGCTAATCCTTTGCCTTGTACTTGGCAACATGCAGGACTGTTTTATGAAGCAACTTTTTTGAATCACTAAAGCTGCTCACATCTGGTGCAGCTGCTTTGAAAGCTGCTCCTGTCTCTTTCGGCAAAGGCACTGGACTTGCAAAGCGGTTGTAGAGCAAAAAAGGCAAGAAATGTAAGGTTACAATGTGAAACGGTGTCATGAAAATCACAAGACTTTATTTCCCATATGCAGAGGGTTTAAAATGGTACACTTAAATGGTAAAATACCATTTGTTTTACTTCTGAGAAAAATGTAACTTATGCTGTTCCTTGTCTCATTCCTATGCATCTGGCCCGGAAGGTTCAACTGTACACATTGGGGCAATGATTCAGAAAAGATCAGTCTACATTTCTGAAAAGCTCCTTTAATCAAATTTGAGGATTTCCACACGAGGAGCAGTCTTCAAAGTTGACTCTTCTGTAATAGAACAGCATTTACATACAGACAGGACACTATGAAAAGCTAAACACTCCGAAAACCTTAATCTAAACTATCATGATTACAATCGAAAACTATTCTGCAATTCTATTGCTGGTTGGAAAGATGTCCTAGTAATTTTGGCACGTATAAAAATATAAAAAAGGAGGGAGCCCACAGTTCAACACTGTAATCGACAAACTTAAAGCCTCAGAGACATTTGGTGAAACCAGCATTTCCCCATCCTTCAACAGACTGTTCGATGGAGGGACACTCTTACCACCTGATTCATGATTTCTTCCTGACAAACCCCTCACACCATCTCCAAGAGCTGAGCAAGCTGAGCGAAAGCCACTTCCCATATCAGATGTTTCCTTTTTAAGCCTGCATCTCTTTCACTAACCCAGGAAGAAATTCCAAAATGAAAAACAACAATCCCTTCAAACTGCAGCTGTACACATTTAACTTTAGTTCCTTTCAACTTCAATTAGGTGGTCGGATTTGTACCTGCGTGCTCTACAGGTGAGGAATGCAGTCTCTAAAGAATGAGGGAACATTCATAATCTACCACTCATAATCTACCACTGGGATTATGTGTCAGTATTTGTTACATAATTCTACTGGATTGTGAGTGATAAGAACATCTTTCAGAAAAACACAAAACTGCAATTTCCTACTTAGAATAAAGCATCTGTTAATTTCTTTCCCCTTTCCCATAATCACCCAGCATAGTATGCAGACTTACAAATGGGGGCATACGTGCTTTGCATCCTGTAGTAAAGTTGCAAGAGGCTTGCCTCACATTTTAACTGATTCATCCAGGTATGACTTAGAGAAAAAGCCTTTTTTATGATGCCTTATGACAATCTGGTAGAAAATGCCACGTAGTTTCTTACCTACTGCAAAACTATGTAGGCAGGAAGAGAAGTCTACTTATACTTGTATATATTTATACATAAATATACAAGATACTTATGTCTTAAACAGAACATTTCTAACTTAATGACTATATCAAGAATTGCAAACTATATACCAGGAAGTCCTCTGCTAGGATAACCAATGTGGTGCCTCCAGTTGGGTTTGATTATACCCCATACTGCTTAAATACTGACCATATCATGAGCATCCCGATTCCAGCAGTCCCAGTTTGAGCATGCTATAAGGTCTCTCTGATTTTACAACTCTAAATCTCCCTCCATATTAGAGTGGGAACGGAAAGGGTGAGCAAAGTCGGCAACTCACTTCAAGAGAAGTATCATTGGCTTCACCCACTAGTCAACTGCATTTTTATCACAATGAGTTGTATGAATCCAGCTGAAGTGGTTAGTTTATGGCGCAAATGTGTTCTGCAAATTCAGAAAGACTTCGTGTTATACACGTGTATGGGTCAGTTTATGACCCATTCCTCACAGGTTTTTAAGCTTTTTTTTCCCCTTCAGCCTCAGCCAAGGGACTTGGGAATTGTTCCAAATACTTGAAAAGCCAGTAGCCTGCCAACCCCTGCACTACATCATTAAATGAGAAGTTCAGGAGATGGTGTAGATAATGATATTTGATAGCTGAAGTGAGCTATTAAGGACCCTGGCTTGGGAAAAGTAATACACCCAACAACTAGCTAGCAGATGTCATGAGACACAAAAATTATATCTGGTGTATTACACACATATTCTACCAAGTACAAAGGCAAATTGAAGCTGCCCACATGCAGTTCCAGAGGCAACTCCCCAAACAGCCAGCCAGCCAGCCCCACTTATCACTAAGACTGTAAAGACTTGAAGGAACCGGGCTAAGTAGTCAAAGTTTGATCAGAAGTGGAGTTAATGGTTGTTATATTCTGCTACATAACTAATAGGGTCCATGCCTTTCCTTCTAGAGACCAAAAAACCAGGGAGTGTAGAAGGACTTTTGTTAAATGATCATAAAAGCTTAGATGGAAAGTCCTTTTTAAGGAAAACTATGTCTTTAATTATTGCTTCTTCCCATCATTTTCAAAACCACGTGATCAAAAGAATATGATCAGTATGGACCATTTCATTTGTATATGTTGTACACTACTTAGAGCTGTGCAGAATTTCAGGTTGGGTCTATTCTCTTTAAGTATTGTACAAGAACCATCTGAATTCCAAATGACCTGAATATAGTTGTGAGATAAAATAGCTGCATTCACACGTAATTGTAAAGCCAGATTTAGGATTATGATTTGTGATTATGCTTTATGCATCCTACCCTATTAGACTGTGCACATGAAGCTAATCTAAAAGTAAACAAATTGAATTGCACTTTATTGCCATGCAGGAGCCAGGACAAGGTTTGAAGTTTTCTACAGTAATTTGGTCTTGGAAAGAAACAAAAGTTCTTTTGCTTAAATACACTCAAAAGTGGGGGGGGGGCCAGCTCCACACCTTTGAACTGGAATGTATAGTCTGCAATACCTTATTAAGGTTATCAAATCTGGACTGCAGAAATGCAATCTCCAGATGCTAATTTAGATATTAAAATAAATTACCATTTGATGCCATTTTGTGGGTATTTTGCACATCATAATAATCTCCTTTACCAGCACTTGAGAGTTAGCTTTCCCTTTTGCATTCATGAAAAAAATCCTCTTAAAATTAATAAGTGATTACCCTCCATCCTTCATTCAAAGGTTTAGCTAAATCTTCTCCAGATTGGCTTGTACCCTTTTGCTGCCAAACCTCATACAAGTTGCTTTACTTGGTGCCTCCATCTAAATACCAAGAGTTCAGAATCTCTAAGAGGCGGTGATGCAGTTCAAGAATAAGCAAGATAAATACCCATCCTAACTCTATTTCAGTCTTAGCTCTGCTATAAACATATGGGGTGGGGGGTGGGGGTGGGAAGGCTGAAGCATTCTGCTCTACAAAATCTCAGCCCACTATGTGCAATATAGTGATAAATGATATAGGCCTAAGTAATGGGGTTGTTCTAATACTGTTTCTGAAGCCCTTAGAACAGTGGCATTATGCAAATAATGAATAATACATTGAAAGCCCCCAAAATAATAATCCAGCCATCTCTGGAACAGCCTCCTGCAATCCAGGAAATTCCCAGCTAGCTGAAACATTTGGAAACTGTAGTTTCGACACATCTGGACCACACCTTGTGGGAGAAAACTGAATTAGGATAACACTGATTTCATTTGGTTCTGATCTCAATTTTTGTCCTTCTCTCAACCAGCAACTATGTATTCTAAACCAACAATTTACTATTGAGTTTTTTTTTTAATTATAGTTTTCTTTCATTGTGATTCTTTCTTTTCCAAAGCAAAACAATATGGATGCCGATGGGGAATACTTAACATTAAACTGGAACGTTAGGCTGATTTCAGTCCATTTCCTCTCAGCGGCAGGCCAGGAGTTCTGCTGAGTTTGGTGTAAGCTGGAGGCAACTGTATCTTCCGCAGGAACTCAACGGCCAGGTTGCTAGATGGAGGCAAGCAGAGAAACAAGCAGCAGAGGCATCTGTTGGAAGGAAAGAGAGCCGTTCCAGAGGAAAGGGAAACCAATGCTGATGGTCTAGGATCCAGCCTCTTGTTCTTGGCCCACAGCTTCCAGGAGCAGCCCCATCGGCGTGCGCTTAAGTCCAATGTTCTCGATTTTGTTCTCAATCTTGTTTTTAATGTTCCGCAGACGCAGGGAGGCATGGATGAGGCTCACTGCAAAGGAATGAGTTGCTCATTGGTAACAGAGGAATAGGCAGAACCACCTCCTCCCGCTTCGCACCAGAATTTCAACACACTCCCTATTCCCTTAAATCAGTCCTCCTGAATGGACAGTCAGTATGCTTATATTCCTTAGGTAGGGGAAGATGCAGGGTGGGGAATCTCTGGCCCTTCAGATCAGTTTCAGTTTTATAAAAGAGAGACAGGGAGGAAGAAAGCCCACCAGAGTCTGCAAACCCAAACAAGCCAGCAAGCCAAGCTGTCAGCTTTCAGTTTCCCCTTTATTAAAAAAAGCAAACAAACCAAAACTTGCCATCGTTTTCCTACTCAGAGTATGGCATATTAATAAGGGGTATTAAAAGCAGCGACACTTCTTGAAGTGCCACAGTTTTTTTTTTGCTCTTGTAGATCATGCAACTTGTTTGAAGCCTGAGCAAAAATCTCTTCCCCATCTTCTCTCTACATGAAGCCACGGGCAGCATATGGGTTGCAGCATAAGATGGGAAAACGAAGCATTTGGCAGCGTCTGCTTCTGTGTTTTTCTATTGATCCTTACTACAGGAAAAGAAGACACATGTCCTCTCATGCTAAATGAAATCCAATTCTCTTTGCTTGCATGTCTCACCAAAGTCTACCCTTGGAAAATTCTGCCCACCACATCCTGAGAATGAAGCATGCATTCTGCACAACTGTAAACAGATTGGGAGCGACACAACAGATGTAGGGAGCAGCAGGCATACTGGCTGCACCGATGCCGCATAGCCTTCCCAGGCTGGGAACTCACACATTATGGGCAGAGCGATGAAAATCAAGAAGGTGGCAGACCCTTCGAAAAGAGACACCAGGAAATACACAGCACCAAGGACGGCAAAGAAACACAGGCCAGGGTAATTCCGCCGGAAGCGTCGCATGGGAGGCTTGTTCTCAGCTGCCCAGACAAAACCTCCAAAGAGCAGACACAGGAGTAGGCAGCTTAGCAGAATCAGCATGGGTTGGAAGTACCTGCAGAATGAGACCCCCAGAGTCAATCTTCACTTCAACCCATAGGGAAGTACCATATGCAATTCGGATGTGCATTCAATCCAGAAGACGTTTTTGGGTGGCCCACTCTGAGGCCCTTCTGTAGTTGCTGATGGTTTGGGATCTCCTAAACACCTGGAATGAGGGAAATGGGTGAGGAACATGATGAGGGCCTGAAGGTCCCTCTGGTGCATTTGCTGAGGGTCCCAGATCTGAGGGGGATGGCGTCTATAGAGACCTTCCAATGGGAGACCGTTCCAAAGAGCCAGCCCTATATGGAAAAATGCTTCCAGGCTTCGTCCCCCTTGAACAAAGGTGAACAAAGCCTGTTTTCCTCCTGAAAACAGGGAATAACCCTGTGGTGGCGAACCTATGGTACGAGTGCCACAGATGGCACGCAGAGCCCTCTCTGTGGGCACGCGCGCCCTCGCCCCAGTCCTAGGCCTTCAGCTGGGCTTTATAAAACCTTTTCGCTTTAGGCCTCCGCCCCCGTGTGCAAAAAAAAAAAAAGGTTCAGTCAATTTCAACTTCTCGCGGGAAAAAAAAAGATCTCGTAAAGTTGGAACTGATTGATTGAACTTTTTAGTCCCACCCAGTCTGCCGTTACCACTGCAGCCACGCCCACCCAATTGGCCACGCCCACCCAATGGGTCATGCCCACCCAGCACCCGATGATACATAAGTGGGTTTTGGGTTGCAGTTTGGGCACTCGGTCTCTAAAAGGTTCGCCATCACTGGAATAACCAGTCAGATCTGCGGGTCACCTCCAGTGGTGAGAAGTGATGCTGCAATGAACTTAGAGCCAAGCCCTAAAAAGGGCTTTTATGCATTAAAACCAGTAGTTTAAATTCAACTTGGAAGCTACTAGGGATCCTGTGGAGGGACTTCAGTGCAACTGTGAGCCCCTGGGCTGTTGCATTTGGTGCCTATTGAAAGTTTGGGTTAGTCTTGAAAGGCAGCCCTATGTACAGGTAGTCCTCGACTTACGACCACAATTTTGGGAATCAGAAGGTCCATTGCTAAGTAAAAGGCTGTCGTTCAGTGAGTGGTGCCTCATTTTATGAGTGTTTTCTCCCTGGTTGTCAAGTGGGAATCACTGCCGTTGTTAAGTGAGTCACACAGTCATTAAGCAAACCTGGCTGCCTCCACTGGCTTTCAGAAATTGGGTTGGGAAGGTCGCCAATGGCAACCGGGGGGCCTCGAGCAGCTGGAACCCCTGTGAATGAATACAGGCTGATTGCCAAGTGCCCGAATTTTGATCACGTGACCATGGCGATGCTGCAGTGGTTGTACATGTGAAAGGACTAGGTCATAAGTCACCCTTTTCAGTGCCGTTGCAACTTTGAATGGTTGCTAAACAAACAGTGGTAAGCCAGGGATTACCACCTGATCAGTGTGCCGCACTAATCTAAGCAGGGCGATGAGGGCAATAAGGCCCTAGCAAGGTCCTTACATCCAGGTGAAGCTGGCACACAAGGTAAAGCTGGGCAAAACCTCCCCACTGCCTCCACTGGGTTGCTCCAGTCAGAGTCAAACTACTCCCTGGTAGCTTCACTTGGATAAATACCGAATAATGGAAGAGAGAACTTGACCCCTGTGGTATAGATACAACCTTGACTGACAACCATTTGTTTAGTGACTGAAGTGACAACAGCAGGAGGGGAAAATGACTTACAACCGTTTTTCACACTGATGACCATCGCAGCCTCCCCATGGTCACGTGATCAATGTTCAGATGCTTGGCAACTGGCATGCACTTATGACGGTTGCAGTGTCCCGGGGCTTTTTTGGGGGGGGGGGCACACTGCAGCTTCAAAAAAGCCCAGCTTGACTCTGCAGCCAGGCCAGTCATGCCTTGCCAGAAGTGGGAACAAGAAGATGGCGAAGGTGAGCTGGAACAGCAGAGTGCAAGGTGGGGATGGCAACTGCAGCTGGGACTGGGGTTTCCTGGGGTGTGGCAACCAGCCCCAGAGCTGCACAGTTCCAGGGCTGCTTGCTGCCCTGTAAGGCAGGTTGCATGGTGGTCAAAAGGGCAGAGATGGGGAGAGAGGCAGACAGAGCGGAGTTGGAAGCAGCCCCTTAGCAAGGTTGGGAGGGACCAGGCTCAGAATGACTTGGATTGAGGTGGGTCCCCAGGTTATGACTGGTGGAATTCATTTATTAAGGGCAATGGGAAGTGCCATCACTAAGCAATAGTGATAACAGTCACATGACATTGTGTCCTACGACCACATCACTTAATGACAAGAGACTCCATTCCCAATTATGGCCTCAAGGGTGCCATAATTGCCACTACCACTCAATCTCTTCGTCCCTACCACTACAAGGAAGTGGCACGTGGAAGACCACTGTTATTTCAAGCAGTTTAATGACATATTTTGATTTCATTTTCCCATTTAACAAAGTCTAGAAGTTTAGCGCTCATTCCCTGCTAGTTTTTAAGGAGGGGAAGAAATTTTCATTTAGCTTCAAAGTTTTTCTTGCTGTGAAAGTTTCAGACTTTTGATTCCCATCTCAGAGTCATGTGCCACCCAGTCAAGGGCAGATCTTACAGTCTCCTGACCACAGCAGGGCCTTGAAGTCATGGTCACAGGTTTTGATAAAAACCTCGGGGTTGTTTTTGTTTCTGTTGGGTACTGCGAAAATTGGCCACCCTTGGTGTACTTCTATTATTAAGGAGCTCCTAGGTGGAGCTTGTAAGGGATTTGAGTTTTATCCTACTTGATATGTATGCTTTTTAAGGTTATGCTGTCTAATTTGTTTGCTTTAGCTAATAATAACTTTTAAAATCCCTTTATTTACTGGGGTGTTCATTGTCTCTGGTTCCAAAAGAACCAATTGCCTGGGCACCTGATTTCTGCCCTGGCACTTGCCAAAACACTACTGACTAGAATCATCCACTAGAGCAGAAATACCATAAAAATGCCTCCAATCCACTGATGATGATCCAAAAGATACCAAAGTTCACTGAGAAAAGGGCCACCACAGATGCACCAGCCCTATGCAGGGGTCAGTGACAAAAGCTGTTTCAGTCACATGCCTGAGCCTAAACTTTGACGGATAAGAGTCCACACAATTCCATTTTCAAAGAGCTATTCAAACATAGTTTCTCAGAGCAGCATTTGCAGACTCTGCTGCCTGGGGTGTACACAGGAAGACTATCTCGTTGTTACAGTTATGCTACAGAGTAGACTTTCCTCGCACTGTAGTTTTAAATTTGAGTACCAAAAGCCCAGGAGGCAGCTCCAATTTGCCATCTTCCAGATGCGTTAGGATTACAATTCTGATTTCCCATTTGTTGGCCATGCCGGTTCCATCGCCCACAGTTCCCCCCTACCCACCCCAGGGTCATTAAAGGCACAGGCACTTCTTTCGCATTGGCCCCTCGGATTAATCAGGGTTTCTCAACCTTGACAACTTTAAGATGTATGGACTTCAATTCCCAGAAGTCCCCAGCCAGCCATGCTGGCTGGGGAATTCTGGGAATTGAAGTCCATACATCTTAAAATTGTCAAGGTTGAGAAACCCTGGTATTAATGTTCAAAATTGCAGGAGCATTTTAAGAAAATAAAAAATGGCAATTTTCCCGCTTACATCACTTTTTCCCCTTCCCAAGATTGAAGCGGAGATTGTTCTTTGTTTCCGTATCCCACCTTCGGATGATGAAATGTCTTCAAAAAAAAAACAACACCCCGCCCTTCTCCATCTTAGTTCGGCCCTTCGCCTCTACCAACTAAGCCTGCCCATTGTTCGGTAACCGAGTCTCTCCCCCCCCAGCCCCCCGCGCCCAATCCTCGCCTCCCGCCGGACTTCGCACAATCGGACTCTCCTTCTTCCGGCCGCGCTCCGCCCGCCGCCGTGGCACTCACCCGCCCAGCAGCAGCCCCGCGCCCAGCAGCAGCAGGTAATTGCTCTGGTAGTACAGGAGGTTGTTAACCACGCGGTTGTGCCAGCGCTGCAGGTCCCGCACGTCGGGGGCAGCCAAGCGAGTGGAGCCCAGGAGAAAATCATCCAGCCTCCGAATTGGGGGCAGCCGCACCTCGGACATTTTCGCTCGCTCGGGGCGGGAGGAACTACCATCCCCACAATGCATTGCGGCGATAGACCTGCCGGCAGGAAGACATGGAAACAGGAATGTTGCGGAGGAGACGGGGCAGGGCAGGGCGTCGCCTTTAGCCGCCGATGGACTCGCTTTCTTTTCTTTGTCTTCTGTAACTCAGGGATATTAATTGCCTTATAGCAACAACAAAGGTACGGCTCCTCCAAGGAAACGTTGAGGACTTCTACAAAGACCTGTAGGCAACTGTATAAGCTACTTATTGATACAATAGGCCAGTGATGGCAAACCTTTTAGAGACCGAGTGCCCAAAAGTAGGGTTGCCAGGTGTCCACTATTTGAGCGGACAGTCCGCTTTTTTCACATTATGTTCACTATTTTTTTCACAAAATAGTGGACATTTTTTTTATTCAAAAGCTTTATGATGAAATGGTACGTAATCTAAAGCTCTACAGTCTACTTTTTTTACTACTTAACCTCCCCCCCTCCCGCTTGTCCGCTATTTTTTGGAAGCAGACCTGGCAACCCTACCAAACTGCAATCCAAAACCCACTTATTTATTGCAAAGTGCCAGGTGGGTGTGGCCCACTGGGTGGGTGTGGCTATGGTGGTCATGGCAGACTGGGTGGGTATGGCCAATGTGGGTGTGGTCACCTGGATGTTGCTCGTGGGGAGGGATGCCTGTGGGGAACGGGCAGGGTTGGGGGAGATCCAGGGGGGTCTCTGGCAGGTGGGGCGGTGGGCAGGAGGCTCGTCCTGCGGGCTAAGGCAAGGCGAGACAGGGTGGGGGTGCCATTTTCACAAGGCAAGACAAAGGAAGAGCCGGGGTGGCTGCTTCCTGACACCATCGCCCCCCCCCTGCACAGAGAGGTCAGCAAGCACATGGGGGCCAACAGTGTCCATCAGCAGCCACAGCCTGCCGGCCCCTCAACTGGTACACTCTGGGGCTGTGGAGCCCACCGTCAGCAGTTCAGAGAAGCAGCCTCTGAGCTGGACGGACAGCCGACAGATGAGGCGATGCAGTGCCCCGGAAAAGGAGAGTATGCGAGGCCAGGAGGGATGGGGAGGGAGGGAAACCAGCCATGCTGAGATGCATCTGGCCACATGGGACCTCAGCGAGTTAGCGTGTGGCTACTGAAGCACGGTTGCCATCTCAGGGGCATGGCGTGTGTGCCCGCAGAGAGGGCTCTGAGTGCCGCCTCTGGCACGTGTACCATAGGTTCGCCACAACTGCAATAGGGTAAGCTACCTGAAAAGTCTAGCATGGCTTTTGAAAACAAATTGAGATGGGCCAAATAAACAGAAATGAAAGAAAGCGAGATCGGCTTTTGTGGCTTCTTCTGCTGTATTATCTTAAATATTAAATGAATTGATGGATCAATGACTCCAACTCTTTGCCAGATGCAAATTTCCTTTGTTACAGTATCCCCCAGATGTGGCCATCTGGCTTCTATTTCACTGCCTCCAGTAAAGTGAAGTCCACCACAGTTCCACTATTGGGTACCATTAGGATTTTTCTGATTTTAAACCAAAACCTACTTCTTTGGTGTGTGAACATGTTTTTTGGTCCTGTTCTTGAAACAAGTCTAAAAAGCTTGCCTTTTCTACAGCTCTTCAGATACCTGGAAACAATCATTGGCGTCTCTCCATTGCCTTCTCCAGCTAAGTGCCTCCAGTATGTTTTTCTTTAGAGGCCCTCATCTTGATCGCTCTCCTCTGGAAATGCTTCAGTGTGTCAATCTTCTTCCTAAAATGCAGTGTCTGGAACTGGATATATCATTCTAGTGTGTCCTGAGCAATGCACAATAGAAAGGAAGATGGCTTGTTTTTCTTGATCCTGATACTGTTCTTCAGTTGGTGAAGTTTAGGGCAGGCTTTGCTTTTTTTTATTTTCAGCAGCACCACATTTACCTCTGGCTCTGATCCATCAAGATTCCCCAAATCTTTTTTTTTTTCCTGTGCTGCTACCCAATATGATTGTCCATCTTCTACCTCTGATTTTTGAAATTCACCTTACTAGTTTCCACCCAATGTTCTAGATTTTGGAGATTCTCCTGAATCTTGATACTGTCTGGTAAAATGTTAATTCCTGTGTGATCAACAAACCTTGGAGAAGGGGAGTGTCATGGGAAAGACACAACAGGCACAAAAGACACAATAAATAAATGGCAATGCTGGGATTGGAAGGTTGGGTTTTTGCTTTTTATCATTGCAGTCCCATTTGTGTCTGGTCTTTCTTTTTCCAGAAACATCATTCCATTTATAAGATGCTCACATTTAGCTTATTGTATATTGGAGCCTGATCATGTCAGTAATCACTCTCAGCTACCATTACTGCTCACAGAAATTCTTGGGTTTTTTCTTCACAACTATTCTCCTACATATATGACATCAAACCATAGGGCAATTTTAATGTAGTATGATGTGTAAATGCAGTCAAAGTTGAATGTCCCTCAAGTGCTAAGAAAATAGCAAATTTTTCAGCGAACAATGTAAGATTTCTAGCTATGTGATAGAATTGAATTTAATAAATACACAAATAAAATGCTAGAAGCTTTTTTTGGGGGGGAAAAAATTAAAAAGTCCAAAATCTCACCACATCTTACTGGTTCTTAATCTTACAAAAATTCTTGTAAGACAATAGAGAACTTGGGAGATTTTGTGACTTCAAAAAATTCTGCTCAGCGTTTATTAATTAGAATGGTAGGGGGAGGCATTCACAATGGTAGTTATGAGTGCTATACTGTATTTATATAACTAAATACAATAATATTGTTATAGAGAGAGGTCAGAAAGAAGGCGGCACTAAAATTGATTAGTAGAAATGGAAAATAATTTAAAGCCACACAATTCATATGATGTTTAAATTAGATAAAGAAGAAGAGCAGAAGTATCTGTGTGATTGATTGTCTGCTCTAATCTACCTGCTCTTATAGAAGTAATAAGGAAGGCATCTAGTCCACCCTAGCCTTTTTCCTCTATGAGGGTGGGTTGCTATCTGGCCTTCTCCAATAAAGGATTACATACAGAATGACACTTCCCACATACATATAGACAATGGTTAAGATTTCACATCAGAATTTCAGTTCTTCAGAATGTCCTCCATCCTTTATTGATCACAGAATGTCAATTAAACAACATAAACATCTGTTATGGATTCTTAACGTTAACTGTGCCTTTTTCCTCCTCCCCAAATGCCCATCACTGTCGGGCGCATCCAGATACGTACCTCCTAAGGTACCAGGGTATAGGAAATACAGCGATCTGACAAGTTCTTGCTCCCCAAACTCAGCTGTATTTCTCAGTCCCACATGAATATGGCAGCTGAGCTAAAGCAGCAATAAGAACAGACTTCTGGAAAGGTGGCATCAAGAAATAAAGAATGCAGCTGTTGTCCAGAATTCACCCCACCCCCCATCTTACAGCAAGGTTCTTTCTGCCTTTGCCATCTCAGCACTCTGAAAACCTCTGCATTGTATCTAATGATGGTCTTCTGCCAGCAGAATTCCTGTTCCCTGCAGCTTTCCCCCACACCTCCAAATTTGTTAATGGAATATTAAGGAACCTCCTGGAACATATGGGGGCAAAGGTGGAGAGGAGAGGAAACTCCTGTTTGCTGCTTGTGCAACATTGGATTTCAATGCTTCAGCTTCACATGCTTTTGCCTGAACAATGGGAATAAAGCTACACTCAAAAGTCATCGTCGTCGCATATATCCAAGTAGACATCAAAAGCCTCACGGTTGCAATTTCCATCGGGAGTGAAGACATACTTATGGAAAGTACCATCCACACAGATAGCTGTTAAGAGTAGGAAACAGAATTGAACGTGGGTGAGAGATCAAGAATGGCATTCATGAGAACTCAAATGCATGAAGAGATCACATGGCAGAAAATCTACACTAGGTGCCACTAATAAATATAAGAAAACCAAACAGGGGAGAGAGGGAGTCCTTAACCTAAAGCAGATTGCTTTGCTATACTCAATGGCAGCATTGGACCCGGGTCATGGTTGCATGTGATACGCTTGAAGAGGGCCAACACATCTACTGCCTCTCATCAATGCCACTCACTCACCAATGACCGAGTTGACGTTCTTGGAGGTGTTTCTCCCAAAAGCGCAGATACAAGCAGACTCCGCTGGCACAGTGAAGCTGGCCAGGCTCCACTGAGAATCCACATACTGACCTATCATAGGCCCAACCTTTCCCACACGAGCCAATCTGCGAGAGAGCAGGAGAAACAATGGGATTAAAAGTATTACTGGTGACCATCTTTCATACCCATTTATATCACCATCCTCCCTGCCCCCCACACTACATACGCTGAGCGGCGATTTAATCGGGTATCTTTCAAGGCAAAGATATGGACAGTCCCTTTGTCACTGGATGCACAGAGAAATGAAGAGTCGTGGCTGAAGTTAATGCTGTGAGGAAGAAAGGAGTTTCAACTGGCAATTCAAGGTTTCTTCCTATGATCATGTCACTCTAATAGCAAATGCCTTCTTTTCAGTACATATTACTCCTGAAGAGGAGCCTGGTAAAATATCCCTTGACTTGAGCATCCCTTTCCAGAAATATTGGGAAGGCAACTCCCATAATTCCTAGCCTGCCTGGCTAGGGAGTAGGAGTTATATGGACATCATTATGGTGATGCCCCATAACAATCAATTAAATCCTTGGCGGTTTACATAGTAGAAAACAAAACATCCACAAAGCATAAAACAGAACTTTGGAACAGTGAAATAAGAACAAAATAACAAAAAACAAAATATGGTCCCAAGCAGATTAAAAATGGTTTTGTGAAGAGCTCTGTCTTCAACATCTCCCAAAATGTCCTTGCAACCCCAATCCAGGTTGAACTAGGTTGATCTGTATTAGGAGTTTAGCAATTCCTAAAGCTATTATTCTTGCCCACTCCAGACCACTGGGGCCTCTGAGAACACAACCAAACCTTGAACAGGATCATCTCACTGACACCCAGAACCCATAAGGAAAAGTCTATTGGAATGGGCCAAGAGCCTGCCAATTTTACCAGTATCTGAGATGAAACCTCTGAGAAACACATTAACAAGAAACGGGAGTGGCACCTATTCATAGAGTTGTTAAACTTGGACCAAGTCCTTAGATGTTGCCTTCAGCAGATTGTATCTCCGTGTTATGCAAAGTTTCACTTGCTTAGTTTGCAAGCTTGCTTCACTTGTTACACAATAGCACCTCAGGTTCCCTCACTTGTTTGCAAACTACTGGAGACGAACTGCTTTTCAGCTAGCAGAACAAACCAGTCTTTCTAACTGTGACTTGCAGTATTTGCTCTTCCAGTAATAGTGCATTGATTAATTTGATCTGCATGGCTCTTCCATTTGACAAATCATTCTCTGTGGTAAACAACAAGCTTAAAACAATGATAAAAGCAGCAAATTTCCCTAGGGTAGCACACATATCTGCATCGCTTACCCTCAAAAAATAGTACTCTGTACTCAGTACTCAGGCAAAAGACAAATTTTGAAACTTAAGAAGCAGGAAAGGTTTGAAACCTGAAGCCTTATTTTTCCATGTGCAGAATAAAACCATCCAGAATCGTGATCGCTATAACAATGTGGCTTGATCTGATCTCACCTTCTCAATTCAAAGCTACCTTTGAATAATATTCATCCTAATTCCATTGTGCCATTATCTGCCTCTGCTACAATCCCTCTGTGAGGTTTGCCTCAGTTAGAAGCCTCACCGTAGTACTTCATGATACAGGGCCTGGCATTTCCCAAGAAGTGGCATTAACAAGACTATCAGTTTCCCACCCCAAAGCCTGTAAATCAGGGGTGTCAAACTCATGTCACGTGACATGTCTTCCCCCCCTTGCTGGAGCTGGGGTGGGCGTGGCTTCCATGTGGCGCATCCAGCCCGCAGGCCGGCGGTTTGACACCCTGCTGTAAATAATTCAGCAATGCAGCTCATTCCCCTGTCTATTCTTTGTCTCCAGCAGTTGCAATTAACAGATTATTTATTTCTCCACTGCAGGCTTGCACTAATTCCTGCCAATGTTTTTTTTTTTTTAAGTAGTAAATTTATAGCTGCTGCCATTGCCTCCCAAAACAAGCCTCACCACTGTCAGCTCCAGCACGTCCACTAGCAGAAGAATAGTGCATCAGTAGTCCAGGTATTTCTCTGCAACCAACAGGGATTTTTAACTCATCCATGTGGCCCTTTTGATAAGTTTTGCAGGCCTGCCCTCTGGGGTGGATGGGTGGAGACTGAAGCAAGAGATCAATGGAGGTGCAAGGCAGCCTTTCTAAGTAGCCTAGCCCAGGTAAAGGCAGAGTTTCATGCAATTTGCGAGGGAGGACCTATGTGAAGTGGGAACAGAGGGAGTTCTCTCACCAATACAAAGTTGCTGGATCGGTCCCTCTCCTGAGCTCTACTAGCTTCTCCTTGGTCTGTGTGTCAAAGAGGCGGATGAGGGTCCCTTTCTTTGAGGCAGAGGCCACAACGGTGCCCTGTTGGTTGAGGGAGATACAGGCAATCTCGCTCTGATGAGCATTGATGGTGAATGGGGCAGACGAGGTGCCAGGCTTGGTGCTTGAAAGATCCTAAGGGGAGGACAAATCATAATTAAGAACAAACGAGATTTGATTTTGATTTCAACAGAATGGTTTGCAAAAGCATGCTTGGATATTCCCTTCTGTCCAATGCAGCCCATTACCAGACTATGCTTAAAACACCTGAATCAGAATTTGCTCATTACTGCATTAGCGACTTTATGTCTAAGACACCAGTGAAACAAATGATATATTAGAAAAATAAAATAATATCATATCCGAATCTAAGAGCACAACAGTAAAAGCAATATAAAGAAACTTAAGAAATAACAGTACAATGGTAAAATACAAGCAAATATGGAAGGAAGAAAAGGGTAAAGAGCGCCTGAGTTGAGCATAAATCTTCGCTCATAAGCATGTCTGTGTTTCTTTCCTGCTAATATGGAGATTAAATCCATACCCCAAGCCCCCTGCCCCAAATAAAATCAGAACTAATGCCATCAACATACAAAAAACACCACCCTGTAATAATAAACATGGGAAGAAAACAGAGCATGATCCAAGTCTTTGGCAACTTCCAATCTTTCTCATGCAAAATGAAAGCAAAAGAGCCCACCTGATAATCAAGTTGAAATTGGCCATGAAATGTACGGGGAAGGCGACCTGGGAAACTCAAGCTTCTGTTTTTAGTGAAAGCCTGGAGGAATAGGCCTAATAATGAAGCTGCAGAACCCTGTCTGAATCTGTGTACTGCAATGTTGGGTCTAGAGCAGGGGTAGGCAACCTTGGCTCTTTTATGACTCGTGGACTTCAACTCCCAGAATTCCTGAGCCAGCTATGCTCAGGAATTCTGGGAGTTGAAGTTCACGAGTCATAAAAGAGCCAAGGTTGCCTACCCCTGCTCTAGAATAAACATGACTAAGCCATTCTCCAACACTAAAAAAATCAATCCCTGGCATTGCTCTTTGCCCCATTTTACACAATCAACTAACACAGGTGACTCATTTGATTTCTATTTACAGGTTATCCTCAACTTATGATTGTCCATTTAGCACAGTGGTTCTCAACCTTTTTAATGCCGCGACCCCCAACCGGTCGTAAGTTGAGGACTAAACCAGTTGTAAGTCGAGGACTAAACCGGTCATAAGTCGAGGACTACCCAACCGGTCGTAAGTTGAGGACTTTCCCTGCCCGGGAGCACCGCGCATGCGTGGTTCCGCCCCCTGTGCCAGCCGAGGCGTAGCTGGCAAGCGGCAGAGACGGAGCAGGCCGACCACCAGCTGGCCCAGCCCAAGGGAGGTAAGGCACCCGCCGGAAAAGGGAAAAAAAATGGTGGACAAAAAAATGGCGGACAGCCTTGCTTGGCGACCCCCGTGAAATGGTCGATCGACCCCAAATGGGGTCCCGACCCATAGGTTGAGAACCGCTGATTTAGCAATTCAAAATTACAATGGCTTCCAAAAAACTGACTTATAACCTATCCTTGAAGTTATGACCACTGTATCACTCCTGCAGTCACATGATCATGATTTGGATGCTTGACAGCCAGTTTGCATTTACAACAGTGGCAGTGTCTTTTGGTCACGTGATCATGGTTTGTTACCTTCCCAGTCCATTTCTAACAAAGAAAGTCAATTGGGGAGGCCGGATTTGCTTAGCAACTGTGCGATTCACTTAATAGTACACGAGTCACTTAATGACCATGTTAAAATGGTCATAAAATTTGATCTGGTCATGTGACAACTCAGTTAATAACCACCTCGCTTAGTGACCAAAATTCTGATCCCAGTTGTGGTTTTAAATCAAGTGCTACCTGTACAGGTTACTTTGTGTGATAAATAGCACAATATTATGAAATATTTCAGAATCAAATGTGATTATCATCTGCCTATAAAGAAATACTGTCATCCTCACTAGCTTGCATAAGATTATGTTGTCTCCCTTTAGTATTGGGCATGGTACAATTTACTAAGATTTTTTCATGTCTATCCCATCATCTCCCTCACCCTACCACATAACACTCACCACAAGCTGTAAGCTGCCACACTTATGCCCAGGGAAAACCAGGAGCTGCTTTTCCAAACTGGGACAGAGATCACAAAGCCCTGAGGTGAGAGAGAGAGA